AGGAAGACATCTTCAAAATTTACATCAAACGCCTACAAAACTAACTTCAAAATTTCAACTACTATATCCAGAGATCAAAATACAGAAGCAGTTAAATGTTCTGCTTGAATTTTGAGAAACTTTTGAATTCTGAAAGTTTATTTACTACAGAAAATATTGACTATTAAGACCCTAATTCTACAAGCAAGCATGCATCTCTGTAAATAGGTACCAGCTTCAGAAGGATTGTTTGTTTAAAGCTACGTATTTGAAGGCTAAGGGGCTAACAGACTTTTTTTTTTTTTAATTCAAAGCAGAACTTGACCTACAGCACTGAGTTACAGCAGGTTAATAAACTCCTGCATGTTATCTGAACTGTAGCAGCTACAGCAATCATCCTCACACTCGCCCACCTCTCAGCTGCCCACTGTTGCAAGATAACATGAATCTGGCTTAAATGGGACTAAAAGAAGTTTAAAAAGCTTATCAATGGGACAAGGCTAAGAGTGCATACATGACAAGTTTATCTTGGTTCATCTGACAAAAGAAATTATTAAGTTGAAGTAATTTCACTGTGCCCAAGTCTTTATGCTACCATAAAAGTCTACCTCTGAAAAACTCCTTCTGTGTCAGCAGTGAAAAATTGAGGCTTTCAAAATACATTTACTGTTATTGCGATTTTCAAATAGACCCACATTAAAAAATCCCCCAACAACCTCCCTCCCAAAAAAACACCAAACACCCCCCCCCCCCAAAAAAAAAAAAAACCCAAAAAACCAACCCAAGAGCTAAAATACAGGTTTAATATCTTGACACCTAGAAGCAGAAGCTACAATGCTTCACTGACATTGCTGCTCAAGCTACCCTGTTTGATCTGTACTGGAGCAGAACAGCTCTTGCACAACAGGGTCAGCTCTGCCAGCAGAGCTGTGGGAACAGTAACCCTAGCAGAGAGACCCAACGAACTACTGAAAATCACCTACATCCCCCACGCCAAGGCATGGACCAGGCATACAGCATGAAACCAGAAGTCTTTGGATGAGCAGAACCTGACCAATACAGCAGGATAACACAGCAGTTGGACTAGCTGATCATTGCAGTTCTCTTCTAACTGAACTGTTCTATTCTACTCTAGTAAATTCCCAACAATAAATATTTTCCCTTGATATATGTCATTTTTTAATTGCAAGATGCTGTAATACAAACCCACTGAGGACAGGTACAAGTAATGAGACTCCAAATATTGTTGCACTACATAGAATGTGATGTGCTAGTCTCAATTTCTAGTACATTCTGGCATTCTTTACAAAAGTGTGAAAAATAATGTCAAGAAAATTTTTGATCAGTGCAATATCTAATTCTCCGAGTTTAAGTACTACCAAATATATTCAAATGGTTCACATGTAATTGGAAAACAATTTGTGGCACTTTCTCTAGCCTTAGGGTTCAGTTATATTCAAAAAACAAGAGAAGAGAGAAATAATAAAGTTCTTGCTTCCATACATCAAAGAAGAAATCACTAAAAAAAACATATTAGGTGAAAAGTAATCTCAGTACAATATTCAATGAGACAGAATGCTGACACACTACAGCAGAAGACAACAAAAGTTGAAAATTCTAGACCAGAGAGAGCAGTGGGGATAAAAGAAATTGAGTGGAGAATTATATATTTCATCTGTCTTTGGAATGCTTACAAAATAGTTCCAAAACAATCTACAATGAAGTTGACAAAAAACTGCCGACCCAGTAGAACATGTTCAAAGTAGATGAATGTAATACATTTTGATGGTGCCTGTTAAATCAAGAGTTAACTACTTCAGAAAGTTATAAATTACATTTTCCTCACTGTTTGTTCAAAAAGAAGAGTCAGAACAAAACTGAATTGCAACCTGAAGGACGACGCAAATATGATAACAGCTGATAACTTGAATTCTCATCCACTAAGAATTAATGAAATTCATCTTTTTGACCATTATACAGGTAACATAGAAATTAAAAGGTAAGGTACTTACTTCACAGTGGCACTCAGAAGGAAATTCAGCTGGGACATTAACAGACTATCTGGAGCAGACAGATAGCGATCAAACTGAGCCTAGGTGTGTGTGGAGGAGAAAAATATGAGATCAGCATATTAAAAACTTGCTGTTAGATGAAAACAGGTAAAAACACAGATCTCTGGAAAGTTATTACATTAAAATGGCATCTTCTTATTTGGAAAAAAAAAAAAATCTCTTTTTATATATCTAAGATAGAGCCTAACATATTATACAAATGTTTAAGGTAGAACTTAATAGTCCAAAACAAATGTCTAACTTCAGCATCTCTGTCACCAAAATGTTATGTTTCTGACTCTGAGGAGTATGGGTGGAAGGACTAATAATTAAAATTCAGCCTCCATAATTTATCCATCTAAGTTTCCTATGCAGCTGATGCATGTACGCACGCACCTCTGAAGATCAGAACTAGACTATTCAGTGCAGAGGGAATACAGCAGCCTCCAGACAGAAAGCTAGTCTGCCCAAGTTAGACATGTTGCATGTTTCTTTTTACATGTTTCTTTTTATTTTTTTGGCAGACAGTCACTGCTTAATAATCTAATGAGCACTTATGTTGGGAAAAACAAGAGCAAGGGACCTAGTTCAGGCTCTTGAACTGCTTCTAAGCCTCCTCCGTATAATATAGTGAAAAAATCGTGCTGCTTTGATTCTAGTCATTTGGAGAGGAAAACACTAAGAAAGAACATTTACTGCTGTTTTCAACTATCCATCAGAGAAGTTGTGGATGCCCCATCCCTGGAAGTGTTGAAGGTCGGGTTGGATGGGGCTTTAAGCAATCTGATATAGCAAAAGGCATCCCTGCTCATGTCAGGGGGGTTGGACTAGATCATCTTCCAAGGTCCCCTCCAACCCAAAGCATTCTATTACACTATGATCAAATGGATAACTGTAGAGAAGATGGAGCCAGGTCTTCTCACAGGCAGAAACATAAGGAATATTGGACACATATTACACTGAGGAAAATTCTGATTAGATAGTTAGAGGAAAAAATTCTCACCACGAGTGTTATCAAACACTGAACAGGTTACCCAGAAAAGTTGTATCATCTCCACCGTTAGAATCATTCACTTCGGCAAGACCCTAGGCAACTTTATCTAATGATGGCAACCTTCCTGAACATTGTATGAATCTTCTCAAGCTGGTAAACTCTAAAAGCCACATCCACCCATCATTTAAACATGCAAAAAGTGGGCACAAATGACTAATGAAATCACTCACAGTTCTCATGAATTAACTTTTTGGGGTTATCTGTCCTCATTCGGAAAGCAAGGGAGCTTTAGTTGAACGGTATGGACTTTATCTGGAGAACAAGTCCTATGAGGAGCGGCTGAGGGAACTGGGGTTGTTTACCCTGAAGAAAAGGAGGCTGAGGGGATACCTTATAACTGTCTACAACTACCTGAAAAGAGGCTGTAGTGAGGTGGGTATTGTTTTCTTTTCCCAAGTAACAAGTGATAGGACAAGAGAAAATGGCCTCAAGTTGTGCCAGGAGAAGTTTAGATTGGATGTCAAGAAAAATTTCTTCACTGGAAGGGTTATCAGGCACTGGAATCAGCTACCTAAGGAAGTGGTTGAGTCACTATACCTGGAGGTATTTAAAGGATGGGTAGACGGGGTGCTCAGAGATATGGTTTAGTAGTGGACAGGTACAGTTGCACTCAGGGATCTCAAAGGTCTTTTCCAAACAAATGATTCTATGATTCTACCAGAACAGCATTTGTAAGCACATATGACCAGCTTAAAAGGCTGAGACCTGGAAAACTTTCAGGTTAAGTTGGGAGGCAGTGAATCTGCCTGTAAGTACTCCCTTGACACGGTTTAAATCCTGGGAAGCCATTAGATTAAGCTCATAAATGGGATTTATGTGGGTTTGATTTCAGGATACTGGGTTCCATTCTGGTTAAAGTCTGTTCACAGAAGCAGACATTAAACAAAGTAATGAAGAAAATAAAACAGTTGGATTCTTCTCTAACTATTCAAGTGAAATTATTAAGTACTGCTATAGATAACAGAGTTACATATATATAATTTAAAGAGATAGTCCCCAAGCTGAAGTCTAAATTCCTCATTAGTCTACAAGATCATGATAAATAAAAGATATTTTAAATGCAAAATTTATAAATACTGATAAGAATGCATGCTGATCTGAGGAAACCACCGAGCGCTCTGTGCCAGAGCTTTGTAGATTCAACCAGCTTGGGAATCAATGGTTTAAAATTTGAACAGAGGAAAACAGGCTACACTGACACAATTAGGAGGATTCAACATAAAATTTTTTAAAATACCTTTTTAAAAAAAAATATTTCTATTAAAAAGACCTTTTTTGTGGGTGTATACCTGTACTGCTGGATGAGCGGGCTTTATTTACAGTTAAATTTTCAGAATAAAGCTAAACCTGGCTAGGAAAGAAGAGTAACAGATGATATATTATTGCTTACTCAACTGTGATATTGCTATCTCTATGCAAAATAGCCTTCACACACTCCAAGAAAAAATATCAGCTGATAACTTGTTTTAAAATATATTGTAGCTTTCATCTTAAAAAATATAAATATGACACATGCCCAGCACCTAACTTCTGAGTTTAGCCGAACTATTTGCATAAAATCAAAGCCTTAGGACTAAAATTATAAATGATAGCAGAACCTATATTTCAAAGCATAGAGGCAAAAAAACCCCAACAACAACCAACCTTTGGTGATTAAAACTAATTAGAGCTAAGTATTTGCTTTAGCAATTTAAGATGACTCATGGGATAACATTCTTGTGAGTGAAGTTCTGTTTCTCAAGGCTTAGAAACTCATATTCCATTACTACCTGTTCATAAATAATTAAAGTATTTATTACTTCAAGTGGTCAAATTACTACAAATGAAGAAAGTATTCCCAGACGTGTAATTTAGCCATTCTTAAAGACTATGACTGGTTAGATGAATATCTACTACATCACATAATTAATAGCATTCTTTCCCATGTCACAACATCACCACCTAACATAAAATTGTAAAGTGCTTACCATTGCAACCTTCAGGGACACAGAATCCATACTTGGCAGATTTGAAAGAGGACCCTAAGAATCAGTAGTCAAAGAGAGGTGGAAGAAAAGGTCATACTAATATACGGAAAAAGATAAAAAATAATAAATTCTACAGTCAATTCAGTACTAAACTGTTATTTGGTCCTGCTACAGGATCTTAAATGTCTGGAAACTGAATCACAGTTATCAATACTGAAATGCTGTAACAGTTCATTTGTATTCTACCGCTCTCTTAAATTAAAAACTCAGAATAACAAGTTCTTAATATGTCCTTTCAAGTCCTTTTCTTCCTTCTTCACCATTAAATCGTAACTCCCCAACCCACCCCCAAGAAAAGAAAAGCCTTCCACAAGGTCTAGGATAAAAACTGAACTGCAAGCTGGCCACAACCCCTTGGTGTTCCAGAATTACAGAGGACAACTTGATCTATTCATCTATTCTGGGACCGTGCAGAGTTCAAGCCTGTTTCCCAGTAAATCTTCTGTGCTGGTATGGCATTACAATGTCTACATGCTGCCTAAACCCCTAACAAATCCTGCGATGCCACCTCTGCAGCCAGGCAGCTGGATAGGCACAAATGAAAACTGCTACATTCCATTAAACAATCTGCCCTGCTCTATTTGAAATCTGTTAGATCAGGAGATAGACTCATGAATAGTAAACCAAGCTGAGTTATTAATTAGATTATTTATACATTTATTTATTCATCTTTACACATAAAAATCTGTTGCATTTGGGCACTTCATACAAAATTACTGGCTAAAGAAACAACATAAAGCTCTCCAAGAGAGTTCTGCTTTCTCCAGAAAACACTGTTCTTCAGCTTCACAAAAGATCACAAAAGGACATAGGCACAGCTGAAGGGAAGAGAGGCTGTATTAACACCTATCACATAACAACTGTTTTTCACAAGAAAGGAAGAGCATGAGCTCTGAATGCCAGTTTTCAGCTCACTCTAAGAAATCCAAAGTTTTCACTTTTAGAACCTCATTGTCCTGGTGCTAGAATAGCTAGAGCATTGAATAAGGATAAAAGAAGAAATTAATCCAAATTGCTATTAAACTCACCTACCAATTTTTCACATAAGAAAAAAGCAGTAATTGTCTAATGTAAGCAGCATATCCACTCCATGTTCAGCGTGCAATGGAAGAAACCTGAATGTTGCATGCACTCTAGCTCAGTATGTTCTAGACGTCATGGAAGTGGTAAACATACTCAGTATTTGTGTTTTAGAGCCAGCTTGACTCTTGACACTTTTTGAGGCACATTAAACTACCTATACAGTTATTCTGAGAATGTACAGGATGTCTGTGGTGTACAGAGCCTGCTGATGATACACAGAAGCTGCACAGAAGAATTGTTGCCTATTAAACCTGCTAGGCTTGCTGAATACACAGTGTAAGGGAAATCTGTACTTGCAAGGTGCCTTTGACTAGTAGTCCTGGTCTCATGTGAAAAATCAACAGGTATTACTGAGTTTTTGCTTTCAGAATCAGCTAATTTGCAAAATATTAGAGCCAAAGGTCTTCTAGCCACGTTCATTACATAAGCTTACCTGTTCTGGTTTGTGGTGCTGCACAGAGTTATATATGTAACTCAGACCAGCTCTTGTTAACACATAGGAAGCTTGTTCATTTATCAGTGTATCTAAATGAGCTTCAATCTGAAATTTTAAGCATAAGGTATTTATAAAATGTGCATGAGAATATTAAATAGAACAAGCTCTGAGGTTAAAAGTTTTAGAAACACAAATAAGGAAAAAAAAACCCAAATAAGAAAAGGTAAGTGATTACCAAAGAAAAACCACAAATACATACAGTATAATTATTTTATCCATTTACATCTTCCATATTATAAGGAGCCAATAATAAAAATATTGATAATTCTTTCATGCCTAACAGAACCACCTAAATTTCTTGTCCTTGTAAATTCAACAGCACCAAAAATTAAGAATATCAAAGCTCTAATCTTAAAAATTGTTATATAATTTTATTTTGTTATAGTTCTTTGAAAATATGTCATAAAAATAAAACAACTTTATTGAAAATATTGATAATAGCCTGGCAGTTTTATAAAAAAAAAGAAAAAGATACAGCCTTCCACAAGGAAAATACAACTGAAACAAAATCTAATCAGTAATGCTTTTAAACTGATAAACATTTGAAAAAAGTTAACTGAAAGAACAACAGACAATGAAATTACAGATATCAATTTTGCTTTAATTATCTTCATATGAAAAAAGTCATAAACGTATTTTACATTCTTAGTATAATCTTTACTTTGCAGATAAACCTCATCAATAAATCTAGTCACAGCAGTAGCAATCATTTTTTAGTTTGAGTAATCTTAAAATATATTTGGGTAGGTATACATTATTATTTCATTTTCACAGAAAATTACCCACATTTATTTTATTTTTCTTTCAATCCTAAAGAAAAGCAAAAATTTATAATATATCAAGCTCTAGTAAGAGGCAAGACTTACCTGTCTGATATTTTAAGGGTTCACCTTTTTACTTCCTAAAATTGTTTAGAAAAATGCATGTCTCTCTAAATCATGAGGGAAAACTTAATATTTCAATTTTGAGATTTTAACTTAGTTCTTTTTTTCTATGAAAAATGTTTCTCTTATTAAATACGCCATTCTAACTCTACTTTAATACCCTACTTATGTATAATCTTAAAGATATTATTTAAGTCAGTTCCTGTATTTGTAAAATGTTTGAAGAGAAAGTAAATGGTATTAAATGCATAACCTTCAGTTATACTGCTTATTTGAAGAATAAATCAATTGCAACATTTACTCTGAAAAAGAAACTTTGATAATGGGAATTAGAAATGCCCCAGACAGTTTGGAGGGTTTGTCTATTTGTTTCAGAGCTAAAAGGTGCTAGAAATTCTAATTAGGAGTAGAAAGCGAAAAATGGCTCACAGCCAATCTTTCCTGATGTCTTCAAATAAGAAGTTGAAGCTTTTTTCCAAGCCCCCCAGCTCCAAAAGCTCTCCTGAGATATATTGCAGAGACGTTCATCTAGCAAAATTATAAATGTGCAGTGCCTAAGTTTTCACAAATCAACAGTTTATAAACTACATTTCCATTTCAAAATGGTACCACATATGAACTACCATCCTGGCATGCTAGGTGAAACCAAACAAATGAGAAAAGAAAAGCAGAAAGAAGGATGGAAGTAGTAACTTCAGCTACACTACATTCTAGTGCAAATTAGATTATGATCTTGTATTAACTATATGATGGAATATAGTCAAGCATTTGGCTGTTTGAGCTTTCAACTTCCATTTGCTTCTTCTCACACAGTTTGCAGATAAATATTAGAATGATTAGGATAATTAAAATCTTTGCTGATATGGGTTTACCAGCAACTAAATTAAAACAAAACAAATTTTCTAATCATTTTTTGCCCGCTTAAAATAAAAGATGCTGTGTAGCACAAGCTCTCATACCTGCTATTTGGTTAGGGTGTCTGATAAGAACCCCTCTTATCCCATTTCCTTGACTTAGAATTGACCCAAAGCCAACATTATCAAAGATAAATACGTTCACATCACAACTTGTACTCTGCAAAAAATCAGTAATAAGTTCATTTTCTTTTGGAGCTGTTAAAGCTTACCTGAAACTGTAACATTTCTAGACGTTTGTCAGTGAATTCAAAGAGAGCCAAAGTAGTCTTCATCATATAAAGCGAATTTACCATGAAGGTTGCCATATCAGCTGTGCCTAAATTACTAGCAGACATAGTACACATCTGTAACAACGGATCTAGCACACAAGACAGAACCTAAAATAGAAAGCACACAGAAAAGAGGGAGGGGAGGGAGAAAATCATGTCACACGAGGCTTCTAAGCTCATTCTGTCTCTATCATATATCTATTCCCCAAAGCAGAATAAAGAAAAATGAGAGTTTTCAACTGCGAAAGCAGTTTTCTACTGGATTTGTCAGCAGGTGATCAGCTACCATAGTGATGCGAAACATATCAGAACCTGAGAAGAACAGATTCTAACTTAGCAGGAGGAAGAGTAACCCAGATTAGTTAATTGGTAATTGTGCAATCTTGAGGGTGTATTTACTTAATGGAGTAGTAATTGGATAACAGAATTTAGATACTGTGTTAAGAGTAGCACTCTTAAGTGCTACTCACAGTACTGTAATTATCAACTTTGTTAGTCACCATCTTATTCACATTACAAACTTGGGTTTGGTAGAAAGCTCCAAAATGGGACCAGACAAAAAAGATTAATGTTTCACCCATCTTTGTGTACTGAGACTAACTTAGACACAATTTATTTCCCCCCCCCTCCTTTTCAGAGCAGTCAAACATTCTAATACCTGCACAAAGTCAGCTTGACGGGCATCCAGTGGAACAACAGATGAGTCGTGAGATGACAGAACCTCCCGTAGCAAGTTAAGTGTCTGATTTAGTGCAGAGCTTGGGCCAAGATCAGGAGGTGGGAGTTCAACCTGAGAAACAAGATTATCTGTTTGTGTGAGGTTTTAAATTTTTTTTTAGAATTTCATTTACAGCAAACACCATTCAATCTGTTAGCACAAACACAACCAGCTAATAATATTACATGTAGCCATGCAGAGAAGAACTTTAATTTGACATTGGACAAACCTAGCATGTTTCAGATAACAATTGCCTGCAACTTTCAACATAACTAACCCATTCGGTGACAAACAAGGAAAAGTGAATTTGTCCTTTCACTCAGACTATGCGTATTTTATGATCCAGAGAAACCCAAACACTATAGTTTTTGGTAGTAAAAAAACCCCAAAAACCAAAAAAACATTTGCTAGATCAGGTGCCAAAGGACAGCTACATTGCTGGCACCACTGAGTTCACTTTGAGCAGGACCTCCTGTAAACACTCCAGAACCTAGTGCAGCCAGGGGTCTGGGATATTCTGGGATACTAGGGCCATACTGCAACAGCTGAATTAAGTCATCTTTTTGACAAGGTTGCAAAGCTCTTGCCACACTGAGTATGAGAGCTGCAGTCACAGTTGCAAGTCTTTATCCCTAGCAAGTTTTAACCTTAAATCACCAGTATACAAATTAACTGTGTACAACCCAATTCAAGTACACCTGCATTAACTGCAATGATACTGCAAGAACTGGAATGCAGGTCTACCTCAAAGATAAGAAGTGGGAATTGCAGATGGTCAAAAACCAGAAAAGATATAGAAAGAATACACCACTATGAAAAGCTGGAGCACCTGAAATGGACTGACATTCTATGCTATTTTTAACACAGGCTGACTTTATCCCTTCTTTGTAACAGGTAAATACCCACCAAATGCTTCATAAAATGTTTATATAATATAAAACCTAGGACATCTCTCTTTCCCAACCCACATTTTTCAGGCTCCACTCCAAATGTAGTTGCATTTTCTTGTGTTCAATGCTGCCTCAAACCGGCTCCAGACCTTACCAGAACCCAAGCTGCTGGCCTTGTTTCCTTCTGCCAAAAACCCTCTTCCCATCTTCCTGTCTCCTGCCTACCCAAGGGCAAACACAAATCTGGCTGAATCAGGTTGGGAGTAAGGAGAACAGCAATAGAGAGTTAGTGAACACTTCAAGGCATGATTTCTTTCCAGAAGCACACAAGGAGGACAGAATGCACTGGGCTGTGCATCCTACTCAAGGTGTTTGGATGCAGCAGGGCAAGGCAGAGTGTCTGCAACACTCAGGATTCCAGCTCAACAAGAAAAAAAGACAGCTTTGGATGGACCCCCAAGCCACAGTCAACATCATAGAATCACAGAATGGTTTGGGTTGGAAGGGACCTTTAAAGGTCATCTAGTCCAAACTCCCTTGCAGTGAGCAGGGACATCTTCAACCAGATCAGGTTGCTCAGAGCCCCGTCCAACCTGACCTTCAATGTTTCCAGGGACAGGGCATCTACTAACTCTCTAGTCAGCCTGTTCCAGCAACATGCTCCATCACTTCCCAAATGAGAACTACTGGTTAATAGCATAATAATGTACATGTCTGTGTCTCCAAGGAAGAACACAAAAATATCAAAGGGGCAAAGAAACAGGAAGGCAAGTGTAACAGGCATGTTCAGAGAGGAGCACTTCAGAGCCATCTGGAAATGAATCTGTACCTAATGAACATGCAACCAGAGAAAGAAGAAACAACTCTCTCTCTCTGGAGCTAGGCCTAGCTTTCACACTGTGTGTGCTTCAAAACATCTGAGACACCGTACATGTCCCCACACTGTTACCAAGGCAGATCAAACGAAAAAGTTTTTTGCATCTTTCTGAATACAAAGTGTTCCTCTGTTCTCACTTTCCAAGAGATAGTATACTGAATTCGAGGAACTAATGGAAAACTAAATCTAATAGGTTCAGAGAACAGTTGCTGCTCAGCCTAAGCAGTCTTGAAAGCATAAACCAAATATTCTAGCAATGAAGTAACAGTAATTCAGAAAGAGGCACTTACTCAGTGCTGATTAGTAGTAAAGTTTACTGAGGATTACAGCACTGAGTCACTTTCTTTTTGTTTATTCTTGTTATTATTAGGAGTATTGATTGTGCCCTGAACACACTGTTCTCAGACCTGAACTGGACCGTGTCCAGGGATATTTTGTCATTAATTTGAGACTGGAGTTTGATGGGGTTTTCACTTCCAACACACATACAGATCATGGCAATGATAATTTCAGGCTTCTTTGCACAGAATTTTTGTCTCCTCAAGCAGTTGATGGTCAGAAGCTTCTAAATTAGCTTAATCTTTCATTTAATCTGTTCTTTTGAAGCCCACTGTTTTCTAGATGGGAGCAAGGAACATTATGGAAGAAGAAAACACGGCAAGGAAAAAAGGTTCTGATTGTTAGATTTTACAGGGGTTAGCTTGAAAATCCTGACTACTGCAACAGAGGCAAAATTATCAGTCAGAGGAAGGAAAATGAAAGCAGTGCTATTTCATTTTGAAAATTCTAACTTTTTGCATATTAATGGAGACTGGGTTTTTTTCAGAATTAAAGAGGAAAATTTAAAAACAGACATATGTAATTTATAGAGGAATCAACTGGCTTCAATTTGTGAGAGCTAAATTGCTATTCTAATTAAAAAAAATGATAGCTGAATGTTTTACATGCACTAACACATTATAATAATCAATCCTGTTTCCAGAAAAATAGATTTGAAACGCATGCTGAATTCTACTTTCGAAGTATCTGCTTCAGATGCAAGGCAGACAGGAGCTAATTAAAAATTATCAGAGCAGTTCTGTAGCAGTTAGTTCAACAGTACTAAAATATACTCTAACACAGTACTTCAGTGTCGAATCAGTTGTAACCAGCAGTTCAGTCCTGCATAAACTAAGCCAACAAGCTGCTCAGCCTTTCAGAGAAAACAAGAAGAGATTCCCAATTTTTAAAATCCAATATACAAAGCTGAAAGAAATTTTCCTAAAATTACAATGGACACTAAATGTTGTACATAAAGTTTAGTATAAAAGGTTGTCTCTTCATTTAAAGTTCTGCATATCAATCAGTGGGGAAATAATGACTAAGCCAAATATACCATCCAGAGCAGGCTTCTCTGTCTATGAAAGCAAGTAGCTCAAAAGATGTCTTGAAGGATTTAACAAACAGTAAAGGAAAACACATGAAAAAGAAAAGGAAGTCTCAACAATCAAGAAGAGAGTGAACATGTCAATTGTTTCCCTTTCTCATTTATAAAGAAAGTTAAAGGAAAAAAAAAAAATCCAATTTCTGTTCCTATTAAATACAGTTAATTCTACTAAGGACTGGAGTAGATATTAAGGAGAGCAGCTTTGTTAGAAGCTCATATGTGCACCCGCAAACACTGAAAATACTGTACAGGCAAGCAATCAAAACTGTTATAGACTATCCTACTTGGACATTAGAGAGTTAACAGTACAGAAAGACAGAGACGTACTGGAGCGAGTTGAGCAAAAAGCCATGAAGTTCATGAAGGGACCAGAGTGTCTCCTACACACAGAGAGGCTGTGTTCAGCCCATAGAAGAGAAGGCGCAGGGGGGCTGTTATCAATGTGTATAAGCACTTTATGGGAGGGATACAGAAAAGGGACACAGACTCTTCTCAGCAGTGTCCAGTGACAGACCCAAGAGACAACGGACACAGACTGAAACACAGGAAAACAATTTTTTTACTGTGAGGTTGGTCAAACACTGGAGACAGTTGCACAGTGAGGATGGGGAGTCTCCATCCTTGGTTACATTCAAAACTCAACTGGAACCAGTCCTGGGCAGCCTGCTGTAGCTGACACTGTTTTAGCAAGACAGCTGGACTAGATGATTTCCAGAGGTTCCAGCTGACCTCATACATTCTGAAATTCTGTGATACTAGTATTAAATAAAACAAGACAGTAAATTAAAACACAGAACTCCTCAGAGAAAGCACTGCTCACAGTGACAAACAAAAGGCTGGTGGCTTTTGAAGGGTCTAATCAGCTTTTAATAAAGTCATTTTGGAAACCACACTATAGAGGGGTGGAGATAAAGCACTACAGAAGTGGAACCTTGTAAAAAAGGTATTTGGACACTTCATCCTGTCAGTTACAACTGGTTAGTTTTAACTACAGAAGTTCATTCTACAAACCAAAACAATTTTCACCACACTTAAACAGCAGCAGTCTAAGAAACCTGAGTGCAGATCTACCAGAGAAGCTTCACAGAAGCTGTCCTAAGATCTTCTAAGCCCTATTAGGATCCTAGAGAAATCACTATGGGTTCCACAGTAGAATGCCTAACGGCATCCTTTCTTTTCAGTCATCAAGCTGGTTGTGAAAGAAAAGACAACAGAAAAATTCTTGCTTTGTTTTGTTCACATGAATTCATTCGGACCACCACATCAACCAGTCTCACTCCAGCCGTCCCATATCTGGTTTCCCAGAAACCTAACAGGCTTCATTCTGACAAGAACCAAATTTTGAGGGAAAAGTTTACATTTATTCCCATGCAATGTCTTATTACATCTGCCACTGACAAGCTTAACAGATGATGCAATCATAACACTCGATTTGCATACATTACACTAAGAAGAACACCATTAAGGAATAACAATCCTAAAGCTTGGTTTGGGGTACTCATAGTTTCTAACAGCTCAGACAGCAGATGACAGGTTAGTTTGGCATAATCTCTCTTTAGTACCCTTATGATAACTCTCATTCCATTTAATTCAATGTTTTAATTATTCTTTCATTTAATAATTGTTCTGGAGTACTACTGAAGCCAGAGTAAGGACAGTTGTGCTGGAAAATTCCCAGTCTCTGAATGTATTAGCTAGTCCAATAAAAGTCTAACAGGCTTGTTAATATGCCTCACGAGTGGACTCGTGATTTAAAATGATGGGTCTCTCGGAGACCTGAAAGAGCAGTTCATCCACTCCAGTGCATTAGGCGCTTTGAACTGTTCTCCCAGCTTCATTGGAACAGTTTCCCTTGTTCTAATAATTATTTTCATTTACTCTTTTCTTGTGGACTTATCACCTGTAAAACGGTAATCTGTACCAGGCTGTTCTCAGTTAGATCCAGACAGTGAGTAACACAAGTAGAATCCCAAATCCCTAAACATTTGATTTATTTGCACAGCGTCAAAGGAAACATAAAAGGATACGTGAAGATCGAACCTACAGTTCCCAAGTGCTTTACTAGCACGGTTGCTAGACCCATGGCTGGGTCCAAGAAAGCTAAAAAGAAACAAATACAAACACAATTTTTCAGTGCAGGGACACTAACACTGGCCATAACGCATTCTGGTTGAACCAACAACCAGAACAACCAACTGTTATCAGAGACAGAAAGCACTGGCAAGACTGCCCAACACTGCCTCTGAAGGGTAAGAGCCCATACAACAATGCAAAGGAGAGACAGCGTTTGCAGTAAAAGCTGCTGCACTGAGCCTTCAGTGACACAGGAGAGAAGGGTGGTGATGCACAGCTTCCATATAATGTCAGCGCTGAGCTCTACAACCACGCAAGGATCTCAAAGCTGTGAATGGCATTTTAAACCCTTGAAAACAAAGCGGCTTTGCAATGACTCTGTTACCAAGCTTCAAGTCAGGTTTCCAGGAGGACTGGACCCAAAGAGATTATCTTGTGTATTGCCTTTCTTTGACAACAATGGACTTACTTTCAGACAGTCTGCTGAATATTTCTGTTACATAGATTTCAGATAACAAAGAGCTGAGAAGTGTGAATGAGAACACCATAAAAAGGGTTTCTCAGACTAAAGAGTCTGAAGTTTCGAAAACTGCCAACTACCTTATTTTCAGATTACAAACAGGATGCTTGAGATTTTCAGATGTAATGAAAAAAAGTGTTCAGAGGAAAGTGCTTCTGAGCCAGCCAGTAAGTACTCTGAAGTAACCAGGGATTTCCTCGTATCATTTACACTGACGGCTTGACAACCAAGAGGGATAATCCTGATCTAAGACTGCCTTTAAGCTTCCATACAGCTCTGTGCTTGTGACACTCCTCATGTAAGATGGGACTCGTCTCAAAAACACATGTGAAAAGGAAGCTATTTTCTTGTCCTAGAACGAACTGCCTGAAGTCTCAGTTTCCCATTGCACTTCAGAAATTAAATCCCAGGCAGTTCGAAGGCAATGTTCAACTCAGCATAATCAATAACCTAGGGAATTATTTTTTCTGTGGTGGTGATGACATCAGAGTCAAATAACCATCCTGTCATTCCTCCACATCCAAAGGAAGGGATCTTGAGGAGTTTGCATATTTAATGAAACCTGCTTTGTCTTAAAAAAAAAAAAAAAAAAAAAAAAAAAAGTTCCCAACTAGCTATACTTAAGAGAAAAATTTGCTTAAATACTATTCTGGCCTATCAGCTACTAGATAGACTGTAGATATTAAGAAAGCATACCACAGCAAGATAGAGTAACACGCCAGGGTTTCCAGACAGTTCTTCCCACACTACAAGAGATCTTGCACAAGGCTAAAGAGACTCCTATCAAGTTACAAATTCACTGGTAATTATGATTAAGTCTTCTGGAATTTTGTAGCTATAAACAGCAATTAAGAAAACACTTCAATTCTCTTTAAATGAAATAAAAATTGTAGAACTAATTTCCATTCAGAATATCTTGCATACAGTTTCCAGATGATCAGCAACAATTGTCAATACTGAAGGAATACTATAATTAAAATGGTGTATCTTGCAGAGGGTATATTCACCACTTCCTAACATTCTAAACAAAAGAAGCACTTCAGTTTAGAGAAGCAAAAATATTTTCTATTTCATAACATCCTATGTGCATTTTAATCTATTTCCAAAGTTAGTTAGATCGCCTTAAGAATGTTATCTTAATCAAAAAAATGGACAGCTGATAGTCTTTAAAACAGGCTTATCAGTGCCTTAAGATGCAAAATACAAGCAGAAATAAGGAACCGTGATTTCCAGATTGTGCAAGTGAAAAGTAATTTACTAATTTTACAAGTGAGTATTTCCTTTGTGCATGACAGGAACAGCAACAAAGCCTTTGCAATCACCTATGTAAGCACAAAGAGTCTGTTTTCCAGTGCTTTAATCTTCCCTGAAAATAAAAAAAATTCTGTAAGCAGTTGCAGTACATATATAGTTATCAAAAAGCTGGTGAAAAGGTTGGGATATGAAGAGAATCCTACTAATACATAAACACAATTTTGGTCTGAAAACACATTAATAAAAAGCACGATAAAAAGCAACCTTGAGATTCCTCAAAAAATGTAAAAGCATTTTGACATTTATTACTAAATTAATGAAGACATGAAAAGGCATAAAATCTGTTTATCTGTATATTAACACACAATAAACTAAGCAACGGGAGAATTAAATTTATGATAAAATAGAGTCTTTATCTCATGGAAACTAGTGTTTGTCCGAGTGTAATTCAGTCTATTAGTTTTTTATTTTTGTGAAGTAAAACTAATCTCAGCCATGAGAAGATAAGACATCTTTCTATCCATTCAGTAGTCCACTCATAAAGGGAATTAATATAAGGTGCTTCAAAGGACTGTCTAAAACTCTCAGTCACAAGAACTACCCATCAGTACTAAGACTCCTCTTCACCCAGAGTTACCTCGTTAACTCCCAAAACACAGAGATTAATAAACAATGGTGGATGCCTTTGTTACTCATATATCTAATCCTCTTCTGAGTCTCTTTACACTTTTGACCTCAATTATCCCAAGGGAAGATCTTCATAGGGCACATATGCAATGTAAAGTTTTCAGTTTCAGATTTAACTTATAAAATGTGTTTATAAGAAAGAGCAATACTATAATCTTTCTACATTACATGGTATCCTTGATGTGCCATTCATTATTCATGATAAGGTGCCACTGAAGTTGGCAGTGCAATCACCACCTTCATTTAACATATCAGTAAAACCAAATCTGACTCCTTTATAAAACAATGGCAGCATCCAGAGCCTGTTACATCCAGGCTGGGCACTGAGGGACTAAGAGGGCAAACAAGCTTACACAACCTTCCCATAGTGACAATACAAAGAACACATACTACAAACTGGGGAATCACAATTCCTTTATCACTACTACTTCTCCTTCTCAAGTCTACTTGTCTCCAAACTGAAAACAACATATCAAAATCAAAAGTACAAAGTTATGCGAGTAGAAATATTACGCTGGAACCTGTTTTGAGTACAGATGTAAGAGCCAGCAGAGCAATACAAGGGTGAAATACAACAGAGATGAATACAGAGCCGTCTTACAGTTTCAAGCCAAGAAAATTTCTTTCCTTAAGCACTACTTTGTTTGTACATTCTTTGTAAGTAAAGAGCAGTCATATATTTTTGCTAAGGTCCATCACTGATTTTTCCTTCATAAAAGGAAAAAGTACACAGGTATTTTCTTTTAGCTTACATATTAGGAAATACAACATTCTGAGGAATTCATATACAGATAGCATAAGCTCATAGCAAGCAATAAGCTTTTTCTTTTTTTTTGGTAAATTCATACTGTTCCTGTCCATTGTATGTTTTATAAACTCAAGCTTTAACTGACCCTTGAAGAAGCATTAGTAGCAAAGGAACTACTATTCCAATAACACTGCATTCAAATTGAAAAACCCCACGACAACAAACAACGTACTAAGTGGCCTTTTGGCCTAAGCATGGACTGTGGGTGGCTGCAACTAAGGAGTCACCTATGAGCTAATGAAACCACTGAAAGAAGTCACTTGGATATGGAAAGGAAGACCAGGAGGAACAACTATTCCTTTGAGAAAGCCATTCCTCAGCCCTTGCAGAAAGACAGGAAACTGGGATCAGATGAAATCTGTGCAGCACGAGAAAACTACTTTGAGAGCGCAGAACAAAACTGACCAAACTCAGAAAATCCCACTGAATGATGGACTACAAGGCTTTTTGTACATCTACGTAGTTTTTGCACTTTTCTTGCAGGTTAAGTACAAATAATTTAAAAACACACTTATAGAACTTCAGTTTGTTTTCCACTTTCAAACTTTTTTTTTTTTTTAAACTGGAAAAAAAAGTTATGTGAGGGCTTTGTTGAACTCTGGGGTTGTGCAATAACTAGGAATAAAGAAAGGCATTTCTTCTTGCTTTTAGGGCCTAGTCAACTCATCACATCTCAGACAAGGATGCTGGATGAACATCAGATACCTAGGAAACTGAAAGGGTTGCACAGCCTAACAAATTTTTTTGACTTTGCTTAGATTTTAGAAAGTTGAGATTTAATGGGTAGATCCACCAACAGCAACATGATATGAATACTGCAGGGAGAAATTAAAAAAACCCTGTATTAGTTACTGAACAATGGGAAGTTCACTGAAACACAAATCAACAGGAGAGGAAAAGATATCAGCAAAGTGGTGCTGGCTTAGATGAAGCTGTTTGGTACAATAAATGTATATTCTGCTTTTAACAGCAGAATACGTTCATGTGGCAAAACTATTTTTATAAAAGACAAAAGCTAAAGTTTTTTTTTTTACTTAGTTTACCATCTTGAGACACCTTCAAATGTTTTGAATGGTTCAAAACATTTTGAACCATTTCATATAAGAAATGAATTATGCACATCAGTAATTAACTACTGATCTGATGATGCATTAATACAAATTATCTAGCTCAATCAGCTGACTTTGCTATATTGCACTTAGGGAAACCTCCTTATTTTTTTTGCTTCTCAGGTTTTAAAAATATGTAAACTGCTCTGCAAACGAACACTGCTAACAACAGTATTTTAGCCACATTTTCACAAAAATAAAACTATTAAGAGAATTAAAACATAGACTGGAAGTTTTTAATGTAGTTCCATAGTTAAAACATAGAAACTACAAAACTTCAGTTTCAGGAAAAGGTGACATATAAAACAGCTATTCATCTAACAATCTTACTACACAAAAAGGAAATGAATGTGTGTTTTGAAACAAACCTTATCCATTAGTTTACTTGCATGAAGACTCAGGCTATTAAAGAATATCTTCTTGCTCAACAAATGCATTTCTTCAATTGTTGTCAACAGTGTGGCTGCGCTGTTTCCTACAATACCACTGAAAAGAAAATTAAGATTAATTAATCTGAAGGAGTGGGGAATATCAAATACAATTTTTTTCACAAATTTACAAGAAATAATTGCAGGGAACAGTTGTCCGTATCAGCTGAGAGACTCAGTCATAAGATGACTCTGGGAAACAAGCATTATCAACTAGGCCATTAAGCAGGTATTAAGTAAAGACTATTTACAGCTTTGCACAAACTTTTTAGTAGAATTCTAAAATTTACTGGATTTTTATTTTGTTATTCTGTACATCTACTTCTGTTACAGAAAACAGATTACCTAATCAAAAAGAGTTGATAACTATTTTATCATACTGTCCTTTAGGGATATGACCACCTCTCTTCTTTCTTCATTGCTCTGTTAGACGTCTCCAAAAATACAAGAATTCATGCCTTGCTATTTTAAGTGTCAAGATACTACTTCACATGATTATTGCATAAACCTTAAATGGCACTACATGAGTATGCTCCTTCTGTCTAAAGTAAAAGAGCTTTTAAGCTACAAAAATGGCAGTAAGAATTCACTGCATCATAAAAGGACTAATTTAAACTTGTAGCTTGATTTTCAGATTATAACCTTGTTGCATTTAATAGGTAATTTCTTAAATTGCATTTTCCCTTCATTAGTCAGGTGCACTTCCTCTATACAGAGGAAATTTATTCAGCTGACAGAAAGTACTTCAATGGTCTTTAAACAACGTATCATTAGCAAAACAGAAAGCAACAGGTAAAATTGCCCAAGACCTTCCATTTTAACATAACATTTTTGATTGCACTGAGCTTTATAACCACTGTGAAACAAAAACTTCGGAGACAGAAAAATGACAGCAAAAATGTTTCAGCTTTTTCTAATAAAATTAGGAATAGGTCTTATAGGTGTTCTACCATAGACCTGTAGTGCCATCAGAACTGAGGATTTTAAGAACAGTGGGAGGTGCCCAAGAACCACTTATCCCAGTCTGCCCAACGTCTAAATGTCTTTTCATACACAAAAGAAGCCCAAGTAGTCATATTAGTGATTCAAATTCTCAGCAGTTCAGTCCATGGCAGTAGATGCAGATTTTTCTGCTACTGCTGTTTCTAACCAATATGAGCTACTGCAAATGCCACCATATATAAAACCAGTGGTTCTGGCTTTTCTCCAATTTGTGTGTTTCTGGTGGCATCTGTAAGGTTGGAAGATCACAGAATCACACAGAATCACAGAATGTTGGGGATTGGAAGGGACCTCGAAAGATCATCTAGTCCAATCCCCCTGCCGGAGCAGGAACCTAAACAATTTTACACAGGAAGGCATCCAGGCGGGTCTTGAATGTCTCCAGAGAAGGAGACTCCACAACCTCCCTGGGCAGCCTGTTCCAGTGCTCCGTCACCCTCACTGTAAAGTAGTTTTTTCTCAAGTTTAAGCAGAACCTCCTGTGTTCCAGCTCACACCCATTGCCCCTTGTCCTATCGTTGGGCATCACTGAGAAGAGCCTGGCTCCATCCTCCTGACATTCGCCCTTAACATATTTATAAACATTAATTAGGTCTCCCCTCAGTCTCCTCTTTTCCAAGCTAAAGAGACCCAGCTCCCTCAGCCTTTCCTCATAAGGGAGATGCTCCACTCCCTTAAGATGATTGGCGCATCTTCAACAGCAAGATACAGAATGAGGTAAGCATCTTCCCAACAGAAAAATTCAAGTGCATAATCAGAAAAAATGATATCAAAACACAGTTGTTTAAGAAAGAAAAGGAAAATTGAATTTCTGGAGATAATTTAATTCTAGTATTTTCTCAAAGGGGACTTGACTTTGTAATCTTGAATGTTTTGTGTAGTTTTTTTGTATACTATTTGTATCTACACAGAACAACAAACAGTTTCTGTAGCAAATGATGCTATATTCAAAAGCAGATGCAACATGAATTGAGGAATGACAACAGATAAATGGCATGTGCTTGATATGTGCATGTTTCTACTAGATTCCATAGCACAGAATAAAAACTAAGCCATAAAATACTCTTTTTACTATATTAATCTTTATATACACAAATTTTAAAAAGACAACTTTAACACACTTCGTAATTTTGCATACCTGATTGTATGGTGGTAGAACTTGAGAAGATTAGAAATCTTGTACAGTAAAACTGCTCCTGGCTCAGCAACAATCACTTGCTCAATTCTAACCTGCAGAGTAAAGAAATACAAGCAGCCTTCAGGTCATACGTTTCAAAAGTCAACTTGATTTCACATGCAATATATGTCTGATTTTTCAAAAATAAATTTTTTGAAAAATAAATTTAACTAGAAACACATTCAAAAAGAGAATGTCCAATTAACTGTAACATTCTGCTTGAAACAAAGTACTTCTTGGTTGCCACGCCTCTGGGTAGAAACAAGCAGGTGTATGTACTATTAAAAAAATATATTTAAAAAAAATCCCTATAGAATTTTGTTGCCAATTGTTATTGAAAATTTCAAAATAATGAGATCATTTGATGGATTAATACCAGTACATACTGGAATTCTCCTCAGCACTGAATAACAAGAACAGCTGCAAAGCTGAAAAATCCCTAAACTACAACAGTTAATGATTAGCATCATACAGCAATTCAGAACATCCAAAGTATTAGGTATTTTACCCAAAGACAAAATTTCACCTGGATTAATCTCTCCCTTACTTAAAGTAGAGATTCTATATTCCTACCAGTATTTAATCAGACATATTTATCACTAACGACCATCTATGTTGACTGTTTATTTCACCAGGAGATACTGGCTACAAAGACCAAAACAGTGCTGACTGCCTTTACAGTTGGACAGTTGATGTCTTGTCTCCATAGTACACACAGTCTCAATCCACTCATAAAAGGCTGCCCCAGGGTCAATCTTTGGGCACTCACGAAGCAGAGATAGACAGTGACTTATCACTGCACTGTTCTCCCACGTGCCTGCATGTGAAAGGGCTACACACAAATCACCAGCCGCCACCCGCCCTCCCAAGTTATTCCTCTGCTGTTCAGTGGAGCACAACATGCAGTGAAGCTGCCTTGTTAGAGCCAGCTGCGGGGAGAATTAACTAAGATTATGCTTCCTCAATCCTCTCCCTTTGCATCTAAAAACCAGTAATTTTTGACTCTTATACACAATGCTCAATCCATTAAGTTAATTTCAACACTCAGGCAAACTTTGCTTTTCAATGTATACGTATATACAGAGGTATATACAAAAAATATCTATCTCCAGTGTTGCATAAAAGGTCATTTGTGCAGGGATATCGAGCATAGCCTCAGTGTGCAGCAAAAGAGAGTAAGAAAGGCAGAGGAAAAAGAGGAAAATAAAAACACTGGAAAAAACAGCAGTAACTAAAAATAAATAAAATAATTAAGAAACAGAAAAAGACAGGATAGGCAGAAGGAGAGAAACAAAAGAAAAACCAAAACATTTTAGGGTTAGGAAACAAAAATGGGAATTTAAAAAAACAAAGCAGGAAAACAAACATTGCTGATTCACATACAGAATTCTCCACTGCACAGAACTAAAATTTGTAAGTGACAACCTAACCTGCTCAGGGAAATCCTGGATTTATAGCTCTTACTGTTTCCTAATCCTCTGTGTCTTGTAGTCAGTTGACCATAAAGGACTATCTGAAGCCTAAGTAAGGCATCAAAAACATTTCATTAGTTTTGACCTCATCTTAAGTGTTATGGAAAAGATGAGGACCTTAATTTTTAATGTTTTTCAGGGTCTCCTACTTCCCTCTGAAATGGGAGGCCCATGGTAAGATCTACCACTAGTGAGTACTCAAGATTAATCTGGATGCCTAAAACTCAAACCAACTATCAGTAATAAATGTGGGCAATTTATACTGCATATAAGCATAATCCTTCTTCAAAAGTAGGAAACTGTATCATATTGTACATTCACATGGAAAGTCACAGACCAGTGAGAAAATACTACATAATTCTGCAAGTATTTAAAAGTGCTCCTGGAAATTCTAGACTAGGCTTTTATCAGGCTATTTTATACTTGAGCCATTAACTCAATTCACAGTGACAGGTTTGCAAACATCTACTAGAAAAGCAGTGTACTGTGGTGCCATACAACAACAACAGTGTCTTCCCTGAACTTAATGCAGTTTTCTTCTTGTGGGCAACTGTCAGAGGGAACAATGTATTGTAGAAAAGACGCCCCCAAACTGAGTCTATTTCTGCTGTTCTTCTCAACACGATGCTTGCAATTATTTAACTGCATTGTATGAAGGCTTTTCTGCTTGGTTTGTTGGGTTTTTTTTTGTTTTGGGTTTTTTTTTCCCCTGGTTTTGCTATGGAAGATTTCCCCAGGAGGAAACAATAAGTACTACATATTTTACATCGGGAAGTCTAGACTGGCAGCGAATTAACATAAGCTGCATTCTATTAAAATGCAGAATACTATGGGAAGTCTTTAATTGTTCTTTTTTTTTTTTCTCATTTTTATTAGCACAGTAACTAACTACTGACAAGGGGGATATTTCTACACATAGCAGAAGTGTGCAAGTGTAAAGAGTTTGGCAATCAAAATGGAAGATATTCTGTACCAAACTGTAGAAAACATTAGTACACAAAACAAAACCAGAGCTCCCTCTGACTTACACAAAGGTTTGATTCTATCCCTAATTCCTTTGTTGGAATGCACAGAAATAATAGTGAATGCTGATGTTTGTGTTAAGTAACAGAACTAAAGCATGCAAGATGAACATAAAAGGCTTGGAAAAGATCCTAAAAAAAAAAAAAGCTGTGAAAATAGCTTGTTTGTCTAATATGACAGGTGTTTTTCAACAGGTCAAAAACTAAAGGCTGTGAAGGATCATCATAGTTGTATGGCAACAGGAACAAACTGAAACACAGGAAGTTCCCTCTGAACATTAGGAAACACTTTTTTATTGTGAGGGTGACCAAGCACTGGCTTAAGTTGCTGAGTTAAGTTGCTGTGGAGTCTCCACCCTTGGAGATACTCAAAAGCCATCTGGACATGGTCCTGGGCAACAGGCTCTAGGTAGCCTGGCTTGAGCAGTGGGTTTGGACCAGCTGACCTCCAGAGGTCCCTGCCAACCTCAACCCTTCTGTGATTCTGTGATATTCTAAATGGCACTTTCTGGATTTTTACTTCTCCTCAGACTTTTTATATAGTACTCAGAGCCTACTTGTTAACATTTGAGACTAAGTATTTGGCAACCAGACACAGTTGTTCTAGCTACAGCATACTAAAATAAATTAATTATAATACTATTTAGTACACTAGATTTTACTTTAAAAACACTTGTATTTATTCACTGCATGGTCAGCTAATTATTGGTATCAGCTTCATCACATCAATTATTTTATTTTGTGCTTATGTAAAACACATGCAATATATAAGACAGTCAATCACCTGATGGATCATTATTAATGATTTCTATCAAATGAGTCCCCTAAACTGACTAAGGCTCTAGCTTGAAAAAAAACAACTGTGGAGGCATGCGACAGAAATACAGCAAATCAAGGTAGCGTAAAGGTGGCAAGTAGGAAACAATTTTCCATGGTCTCTTTCAATACCAGAGCTGGAGTTGTTAAACAAAACAAAAACAAAAGGAGCTGGCTTTTCACACAGCATACAGTTAAACCATGCACTTCCTTCCTGCAGGACATGTTGTGAATATCAACAATTTGTATCAGCTTGACTTATTCGGGTAAGAAAAATCTACTGAGGTCTATTAAATAGAAGGACAGTAGCTATGGCTCAGAAAGTCTTTAGCAAGTACACAAACAGGTGAGGAAACTATTCTACAGTATCATGACATAACTGCACAACCTGTACACCCTTCAGATGACACCAAGCTGGGCGGGAGTGCTGATCTGCTTGAGGGTAGGAAGGCTCTGCAAAGGGATGTGGACAGGCTGGATCGATGGGCAAAGGACAATTGTATGAGGTTCAACAAAGCCAAGTGCCAGGTCCTGCACTTGGGTCACAACAACCCCAACAGGCTTGGGGAGGAGAGGCTGGAAAGCTGCCCGGCAGAAAAGGACCT